AGAAGATGATGACATGATTATCATTGAATAAATGAGTAAATTCTTGATACTGTAGGATTCTCAGTGTGTCTGGTTTGTGTTGACAACGACCGTACTACCGTACCGTCTACAGGTAATACATCTCCTTTATTTTCATTTAACAATAAATGTGCGCCGTATTCTTCTTCATGGAAAAATAAGACATCCCCTGAAAATAGGACCTAGCGCATCTTTGGGAGCAAAAATTAATATAAGACACTGTCTTACTTTCGGGGAAACGGTAATAATAATAATTATTGTTATTATTATTATTATTATTATCGTTATAACAACAACACGTGGCTGATCTGCTAGAGCTCCAGCTGCCCCGGAGCCAGAGGCAGGACAGGAAGGACGAGGAGACATGGTGTTTGTCGTCGTCGTCATCGTCGTGTCCCCCCCGCGGTCGGCCTGTGCACTAAAGGGTCCCAGGTTCGATTCCGGTCAAGGGCATGGACCTTGGTTGTGTGCACATGCCTGGGTTGTGGGCTCAATCCCCAGAGTGGGGCGTGCAGGAGGCAGCCTGTCCATGATTCTCTCTCATCACGGCTGTTTCTCTCTCTCAGTCTTCCTTAGTCTCTGAGATCAATTAAAAACGAATTAAATAAATAAATAAGTAGAAGGTGCCCTGAGTTCTACTTTGTCCTTTCCTGGGCGGTCCATCTGATAAACTTGCAAGGAAGATGAGCCAGTTCTGGGGGTTCCAGAAGGCAGGGGGCGAGGGGAAAGCTGGCCTCGACCCTGGTGCCTGCAGGGCAGGCTCAGTCTGCCGGCCGTTCTTCCTGACTCCACACGGGCTGGCTTTCGTCTTCTCCCCGAGTGAGCAGGAAAGAACCCCGAGGAAGGGCGTAGGCCATAGCCTGGGACCCAGAAACCGATGCTTCAGGATGAGTGGGGGCTGCTGGGATTGCACGCGCCCTCGGAGGGGTCCTGGCCTGGCGGGCGTCAGGCTAGGGAAGGCGGGTGGGCAGGAGTCGGGGCCGCTAGCTTCCCAGCGTGGCTGGAAACCGGGAATTTTCAGGTGGCAGTCCGATGAAAGATCGCTATTGAATCTCTTGGCAGCCTTACAATATCCGATCCTGAATTTCTACGCTCATGAGAATTCCGTAGATAAGAAGACTCAAAGGAAAAAGCAGGTTTTTACAAGAGCCTGGTTAAGCTGATTGAAGCTGCATAATACCTTAAGATTGAATAACGGATGAATGAGGTTTTTAAATGATCTTTAAATTAAGAAAATAAGACGTGATGAATGTTCACAAAGTTAGAGGATGGACTCTGAAAGGCATTATCTTCATTTTTTAAATAAAAACCTAGCTGCTTACTACCTATGTGGCCTGGGGCAAGTTGTGAAGTCCCAGTTTTGGAAATGGGGATGGCCAGCCTGCGGACTGACGGGTCCCAGGTTCGATTCCAGTCAAGGGCATGTACCTTGGTTGCGGGCACATCCACGGTGGGGGGTGTGCAGGAGGCAGCTGGTCAATGTTTCTCTCTCATCGATGTTTCTAACTATCCCTCTCTCTTCCTCTCTGTAAGAAACTAATAAAATATATATTTTTAAAAATAAAAAAGTATACTGTGCTAATCAGTTTCGTTGGTTTATATCCGGTGATGCCATTCTTGATGTCCCTGGATTTGTAGCTCTCTAAATCCGCCAGAACAGCAGTTAAGGAACTGTTTTACCCTTTGATTCTCCCCTTCCCTCCGAATGCCAGTGCAGACCCGGCCCGCACTTTGTGTTAGCTACTGAAAAGGTACGGTGGCCCCGAGGCCCCACGTCACACCTCCCCATTCTCATAAGCCAGGATGCCCTCCTGTGTGTTTGGTCTCCTTCCGCACCTTCTCTGTGAGGCCTGGACATGAACCAAGAAGGCTGATTCTCCCTCCCTTTTCTTCCTCTTAGGGAAGCTGCCAAGTCCTTTGTGCTTCTTATCTGCCAGGAGAATGGTTTTTTCTGAGAAAGCCCTTGACTTTGGAAATCATGGTTAACCTGCTCCTGTGCAGGGCGGGTTGGCTTCGGGAAAGGCCCCGTGTTTCTGGGTTTTGCGTTGTAATCTTACTGTTCAAAAGCGGGTATTGTGCTGAAACCGGTTTGGCTCCGTGGATAGAGCGTCGGCTTGGTGACTGAAGGATCCCGGGTTCGATTCCGGTCAAGGGCATGGACCTTGGTTGCGGGCACATCCCCAGTATGGGGTGTGCAAGAGGCAGCTGATCGATGATTCTCTCTCATCGATGTTTCTAACTATCTCTCTCCCTTCCTCTCTGTACAAAATCAATAAAATATATTTTAAAAACAAACAAACAAAAACACACGCATGCTCCCTAGTTGTTGAAAAAGCAAGAAAAGAAACAATTAAAAAAAAAAAAAGCGTGTATTGTGACATAGTAATCTGGCCACTCAGTGTGTGTGTGTGTGTGTGTGTGTGTGTGTGTGTGTGTGTGTATTAGAGGCCCGGTGCATGAATTCGTGCATGGGTGGGGTTCAGGGGGAGGGGATATGGGCGGTTGGCCAGCCTGCCTGCTGGTCGAGGGGACCATTTGTATATTAGCCTTTTATTCTATAGGATAGACACTGAGTGGCCAGATGATTATGCGTCTAGAGATCATCATCATCTGGCCACTCAGTGCATAAGGGCTTGGTTGTCCTGTTGTCCTTGTTAATCTGTGCTGTTGCTTGAGTTTCAGTAGAAAGAGAATATTTATCTTTTGGGGGTGTGTATGATTGCCAGCCACGGGGCAAAGTTCCTTTCGTTCTTATCTTCATTCTGACGTCATGGTCTGGCAGTGTAGAATGGGTGGTTTAGAACAGAGTTTCTCCATCTGTTTTTCTTCATTGCACAACCAGGAACACTTAAAAGCAGTTTGTTCCTAATTGGACTCCTACTCTAAACAATTCTAACTTTACACATATGCTGTGTATCTACTTCTGTATTTTACACACACACACACACACACTGAGTGACCAGATAGTGATGATCTCTGAACGCATAATCATCTGGCTGCTCAGTGTGCTTCTCTTGAGCGCCTCATCGATTGGATATCAAAGACATTATAAATCGAGCACCTGATCAGTGCTCCCCTTTGCATTGACTGAAAGAAAGCTCGGCAAACGGGAGGCTGATCTCCAGCCAGTCTCGAATACCCTTGGGACCCATTTGAGATACAAATACACAGAGTGGCCAGACGATATGCATTCAGAGATCATCGTCATCTGGCCCCTCAGTACACACACACACACACACACGCATGCATATGTATGTATATGTCTGTGCTTTATACATACAGAATAAGGAGTGCCTTTCTGCCCGTCCATTGCGAGGCTACAGAGAAATGCCACGTCACACTGTGTGCAGCGGGAGAGGAAGGAGCGTTTCAGTAACCTTGTCCAACACCACGAAAACAACGTGTGGTTTCTTTTTTTTTCTTTTTTTAAAGTATATTTTATTGATTTTTTACAGAGAGGAAGGGAGAAGGATAGAGAGTCAGAAACATCCAGGAGAGAGAAACATCGACCAGCTGCCTCCTGCACACCCCCCACTGAGGAAGTGCCCACAACCAAGGCACATGCCCTTGACCGGAATCGAACCTGGGACCTGTCAGTTCACAGACCGACGCTCTATCCACTGAGCCACACCGGTTTCGGCAACGTGTGGTTTCTTAAAGGGGTCCGTGCAGTGTAGAATCTCAGGCACCATAAACACCGGTCCTGTGGCTTTCACATTCATGGGGCTGTCCTTCGCTTTGATTTGGTGCCATGGCGCAGCGGTCACCTGGGAAATACGGGTTCGCTGACTGACGCTGATCTTGCAAATGCTGATGTGGCACCAGCCTCTCACATCTCATCAAGGTCCCCCCTGAGCTTAGCGAAGCTCTAACCATTGGAGCCGCTGGTCACGATGGTTTTCACTCAGATGTTGTCCCGGCATGAAGGCTCTCAGCTGCTTTTCTTCAAACCCCAGGCTCTCTTTATTCGCTTTTGAGGAGATGTCCACCGTGTTTGTTGAAATAAAAAGCACGTTCCAGAGGAAGGAGGCGGGTCAGCGTGCAGTTGGGACAGTTGCCCAACGCTCTTTCGTCAGTCCTGCCCTGTCTGTGTGCGTGCTCCGTGCGTGCTGCCCAGCCTGTCGTACAAGTTACTAACGAGAGATATATGATCAGCCCTAGCCGGTGTGGCTCAGTGGATAGAGCATCGGCCTGGCGACTCAAGGGTCCCAGGTTCGATTCCGGTCAAGGGCATGGACCTTGGTTGCGGGCACATCCCCAGTACGGGGCATGCAGGAGGCAGCTGATGGATGTTCCTCTCCCATCAGTGTTTCTACCTCACTCTCCCTCTCCCCTCCTCTCTGTAAAAAAGTCAGTAAAATACATTTAAAAAATAAAGTGGCCTTGGACCACAGTTTAAACCTTTAGAAATTAACAGTAATAGAGCAACATTTATAACGTGTATTTTTAAAAATATATTTTATTGAGTTTTCACAGAGAGGAAGAGAGAGGGACAGAGAGCTAGAAACATCGATGAGAGAGAGTCATCGATCAGCTGCCTCTTGCACACCCCCCACCGGGGATGTGCCCACAACCAAGGTACATGCCCTTGACCGTGATCGAACCCGGGACCTTTCAGTCCGCAGGCCGACGCTCTATCCACTGAGCCACACCGGTTTCGGCTAGAATGTATATTTCTTATTACCAGGAGTCCAAACCAAACGAGACTTAAAGCTTTCCCTTAGCCTCTGACGGTGTGGGTCTGCTCGGGCACCTGTCTCTGGGATCCTTCTGCCCTCCGCTGGCCCGGACCAGCTGGCTGGAGCGGGTTAGAGATGCTGGTTCCGTGTGTCCGTCTCACGTTGATGCTTTCTCCCCCTGCGCGGAGGGGCTTGGCGGGGCGGGGGCGGGGGCGGGCTCCTCCATCCCAGGAAGCGCATCGGGGCGGGCGGGCGGGCGGGCTGGCAGCGTGTGGTGCCCGGCTCACCCTCCGTGCCTTCCAGGTGTGCAGCAGAGGAACATGGCGCAGGAAACCAACCACAGCCAAGTGCCCATGCTGTGCGCCACCGGCTGCGGCTTCTACGGGAACCCCCGCACCAACGGCTTGTGCTCCGTGTGCTACAAAGAGCACCTCCAGCGGCAGAACAGCAGCAACGACCGCATCAGCCCGCCCGGTAGGTGGCCGCAGCCCGGGCCCCTCTCCCCAGAGCCTCTCTCCGGCCCGCTTCGCTGCAGGACACGGCCTGAGCGTGGCCCGCCGCAAAGGACCGCCCTGCCCGCCCTGTGCTGCGGGCTCCGTGGTCCTGTGAGCGGAGCGGCTTGCTGCCCGTGCGCCCGCTGTCTGGGAGCGTAAGGTACGGGAGGGGGCTGCCCGAGGCCCTGGCTCTTGGATCCTGGCTGGTTCCTGAAGGAAAGACCGGTGGAGACGGAAAGACGGGTGGTGGGTAGCCACAGCTGGCCTGAGGGGACCGCCCCCCCCACCCCCCCATGGGGGAGGAGAGGCGTGGCCGGGAAGGGGCGCCCGGCGCCAGCCACTGCGTTTCCAGCGCCTTCCCGCGTCAGAGGACCCTCCTGGGAGTGAGGCGGGCTTCCCGGTCAGCAGCTGTGGAAGGGGGTCGGGGGTTACAGCGACTCCGAGGGTCAGCTCTGCAAAAATCAGGCGTTCCTAGTGCTCCCCCTGGCTAGGCCTTGAGCAGGTTAATCCTGTGTGTCTAGTTTCTGTGCTTGATGAACATGCTGGCTCATCCTTAGTTCATTTCAATGTGTTGTTGTTTTTTAAATATATATATATATATATATATATATATATATATATATTATTGATTTTTTACAGAGAGGAAGGGAGAGGGAGAGAGAAACATCGATGAGAGAGAAACATTGATCAGTTGCCTCCTGCACACCCCTCACTGGGGATGTGCCCGCAACCAAGGTACATGCCCTTGACCGGAATCGAACCGGGACCCTTCAGTCCGCAGGCCGAAGCTCTATCCACTGAACAAAACCGGTCAGGGCTAAATGTTTTTTTACGGAATCTTTCTCGTCAGCGCTTTGTGTTCAAGCCAAGAGTTAGAGCCATTTGTTCAAACTTCTCCAATTTTTCTGAAGGCTTAGGTCACTCAGTATAAAGGATTGCTTTTTGTTTGTTTTTTAAATATATTTTATTGATTTTTTACAGAGAGGAAGAGAGAGGGATAGAGAGTTAGAAACATCGATGAGAGAGAAACATCGATCAGCTGCCTCCTGCACGCCCCCCACTGGGGATGTGCCCACAACCAAGGTCCATGCCCTTGACCGGAATCGAACCCGGGACCCTTCAGTCCGCAGGCCGGCGCTCTATTCACTGAGCCAAACCAGTTTCGGCTAAATGACTGTTTTTTAACTGAAATCATCACCTACATTTCTGCCTGATAAGAATGGGGAAAATAATGCGACCTGATGTGCTGAGCACGGGTTTGCCTTCCTGCGAAGTCACGTCACGGCCACCATCCCGCTGCTGCGCTGGGCCTGGGAGATGTCTGGGAGGCACAGGCCCGGTGACATCCGTCCGGAGGGCAGGAGCTGCGTGTGCTGACGTGTGCAGTGTGTGTGGTCTCCTCCGTGGCTAAACATCCCCGGTATTTTCATTGGAATTCCGGAGTATTGAAAACACTTCAACTAAAAGCAATGAACCAGCATCTTAGTGACCCACGGCATGAAATTGCAGACTCCCGGAGTCCCCAGTGCACTTCCTGGTCAAGTCCCCGCCCACCCCCACGTGCCTGCCGCGCCCCCGGCCCCCTTGTGACCGATCGTTAAGGCGTGACGACCACAGACTTTTCATAATACGGGATCCTATGGTAAAAGCCAGTTCCCGCGCTGTGCTTTGTGGAAAACGGATCTTGGTTTTTTTAGATAACGTGGCGGACGGTCCCAAGTGCGGAGTCACTAACCCGAAATGTGGTCCCGTTGCAGCCACGTCCGTCAGCAGCCTGTCTGACTCTTTACCAGTTCAGTGCACAGACGGCGGTGTCCCGGAAGCGCCGTCCACGCTAGACTCGACGTCTTCATCTCTGCAGCCAAGGTAGGTGCGGTCTCCGGGCGGGACGGGGGAGCCAGGAAGTGCAGAGCGCACTCCGCGTGCAGTCAGGCCTGCGAAGGAAAACCGTGGCCGTCACGTCAGGATTAACTAGCCTGACATTCTGTCTGTCTCATCGTTATTCCTGACGCGTTAGAAACGGCTTCCTTTTGTTTTCATGGTGAGGTGGGGGATGGGAAGGCTCTTTCAGATTTCCAATTCAGACAGCTTTTCTTTTTTTAAAACATATTTTATTAATTTTCTTACAGAGAGGAAGGGAGAGAGATAGCTAGAAACGTCGATGAGAGAGAAACATCACCCAGCTGCCTCTTGCACTCCCCCTACTGGGGATGTGCCCACAACCAATGTACATACTCTTCACCGGAATCAAACCTGGGACCTTTCAGTCCGCAGGCCGATGCTCTATCCACTGAGCCACACCGGTTTCGGCTCAGACAGCTTTTCCCTATTCCTCCTCCTATATCTGATCCACCCTGAAGTTTTTCCGAAGGATGCTAAGTTCTACCAACCATAGTCTTAGTCTGCAAGTGATAGCATTTCATATTAAAAAGTAGTCTTGTCACAGGTCCTCTATGTTTCATATCATGATGTGGCACTCCTGGTGTATTTTGTTTTTAATTTGGATGTCCCATCCTTTAGAAGCCAGAAAATACAGAATCTTTGTTTTATTTTTTTAAGATATATTTTATTGATTTTTTTACAGAGAGGAAGAGGGAGGGATAGAGAGTCAGAAACATCAATGAGAGAGAATCATTGATCAGCTGCCTCCTGCTTCCCCCCCACTGGGGATGTTCCTGCAACCAAGGTACATGACCTTGCCCGGAATCGAACTTGGGACCTTTCAGTCCACAGGCCGACATTGTATCCACTGAGCCACACCGGTTTTGGCTATTTGTTTTATTTTTATCCTACTGTTAGGAAACAAAAAGTAACCTCTACCACATCCTTTTTTTTCTCACTTCGTGACCTGAGATGTTCAGCTCCAGGATTTCGTTTAAACTTTGCATCACGGCTGCCTAGGCGTGTTTTTACCCTCCAGTTTCCATGCAGTGAATTCACACACACAGGGGACGCCTGTTGCCTTATTTCCAAAACATAAACGGGGGTCCACACGAGCCTCCAGTTTCACAGCTCTGTGATTCAGTCCTCAGAGGTATTTCCGTGTGCATCCTTGTCTTAAGGATCCCATTAGATGTGCTGAACTCTTTCTTGTATCCCTCCCGTTACCGTTCCCGCACAGAGATGCCGTTTTAAAACCTAAATGTGTTTGCTTTTCTAGTCCTGTATCAAATCAGCCACTTTTATCAGAATCTGTAGCATCTTCCCAAGGGGATAGTACATCAGCGGACAAAGCAGCGGCCGAGGCAGAAGACCTGCAAGGTTTGCATACCAGCTGGCGTCTCCCTTGTCATTTGTGTCACGTTGGCGATGGGTCGGGCACTGTCCTCTGTGCTTATAGTTGCCTCACGTATTCTTACACTCGAGGGCCGGTGCACGGAATTCGTAGTCCCTAGGCCTGGCATCGATCAGGGCCCATCAGGTTCCCCCTTCCCCACCTCCTCGCCACCTCCTTCCCTCACTCCCTCAGCACCCCACTTTCATGACACAGTGAGCTGTCGAACTCCCGAGGGGACACGTTGCATATTAGCCTTTTATATACTAGCATATCGGTTTCTTTTCCTGCTGAGCAGAGCATTTTCTGTTCTCGAGTGCATAACTGACCGAGATGCTGGGAGCCACTCCCCCTTCCCGTGTATGTGTGATTATGTCAGCATCACAGACTTCGCAGCTTCACATTCTGATTCGTTTGACAGACACGTGTAACTGAATGCGTGGTGGCGTTATATGATTATCTCTGATTGTTTCAGCCAGGTTAGTCTAAGCGCTGCTTCCTCTCCAAGCAAACTGGGGGGGTGCAGTTAGGGGTGTTTACGCAGGCAGGCAGGCAGGCAGGCGTCCCAGATTAGGGACCAGCTGTCCCAGATTGTGAGAGGGATGTCTGACTGCTGGTTTAAGCCGGATCCCACAGAGGTCATCCCCCAAGGGCCCGGATTAGAGAGGGTGCAGAATAGACTAAGGGACCCCCCACGCTCCCATGCACCAATTTTGTGCACCGTGACTCTCATCCATAATAATAAAAGCATAATATGCAAATCAACCGAATGGCTGAACAGTGGGATGACCATCTGACGCCCATGCTATGACACCTACTGGCGCCAGGCCAGCCCACATGGAGCCCAGCCATTTCCCTGTGATTGCCCTGCAGAGGGAGGCCAGGCCATCAACTGGCGGGCTGTGGCGGGCGGGCAGGACCCACCTCTGCGGGATGATCAATTGCGGGGCTCCCAGACTGTGAGAGGGCACAGGCCAGGCTGAGGGACAACCCCCCTCCAGTGCATGAATTTCGTGCACTGGGCCTCTAGTATCATTATAAATTCATAAATACTACATGTGTAGTTTTACTTTTTTTTTTAATTGAATAAAAATGTTTAAGGAAAGGTAGAGACGAGGGGTCTTTTAGAAGTGGAAATGGAAAAATTCCCGCAATGTAGTTATCCCCTGAGGTAGGACAAGGGGGCCATGTGCTTGCCCTGGGCTGGCGGCGGATAGCATCAGCATGGTGAGCAGGTTTCAGGGGAACCCAGTGGAGAGGGATCGAATGTCGGTATTAAAGAGCCAACTCCTGGGGAGGGACAGGGAGAGGGCTCGCAGCTGCCCACCAGAGGAGTGCAGGCCGTCCAGAGGGGCGAGCCCCCTCACAGGAGCATTCTGGGTCGCCATCAGGCTCGGAGTGGCCGAGCGAGGCGGGGTCTCGGGGTCCCTCCAGCTCGGGGGGTCCCTGCCTCCGTACAGAGCCGCCGAGTCCGTGGTTCAGACAGAGGAGCAGTCCCTCTGATCTAATTTGGGGAAGCTGCATGGATTCAAAATCAGATTTATCCCGAAGCGTGGGCGAGAAGAGCCAGAAGAGTCTAGAAAAAGTGGAGCCCAGTGGGCCAGGGCTAAACGGCCGGCGGCCGTAACCCAGCGGTGCGGTGGGGGCACGCGGGTGGGGAGGCAGCAGCTTGCTCACAGTCACCAAAACGTGGGGCGACCCAGTGCCGCCAGCAGGTGAGGGGCGAACCCGAGCACAGGGTGTCACTCAGCCACGAACAGGGATGGCAGGCCGGTCCTGCTGCCACGGGGCGAACTGTGAAGCCTGCAGAATGCAAGGCCGGGCAGGAGGTGCCTGCCATGTGCGTGACTCCATGTGCGTGGACGGCAGTGCGGGAGAGGAGGAGAAACGGCGAGCAGAAGCGTGCAGGGCGGGAGGGTGCCATCGGGGAGGGGCCGTGAGGGCCAGGTTCTGGGGGGCTGTGTCAGGAGGTGTGCAGCCTCGCCCGTGTCACTCTTAAATGCACCCGCTGTGACCCTCACCCTGGCAGTTCAGCAGTTCACCCTGTGGCAGCATTTGCAGAGGTTTTCTGTGACATTCTGGAAGTTGTAATCATCCTTTTTATCCCACTGAGTCTTGGCTTCGGACTCCCCCTTCCCCCGGCCCTAGGAACGTACATAGTCTGACCCAGCAATGTTTACAAGTTCGCATAGGACCGTGGTCTGCAAACTGCGGCTCGCCAGCTACAGGCGGCTCTTTGGCCCCTTGAGTGTGGCTCTTCCACTAAATACCACTTCTATGTTAAAGAAGTGGCATCAGAAGAAGTTTAAGTTTAAAAAATGTGGCTCTCAAAAGAAATTTCAATCGTTATACTGTTGATATGTGGCTCTGTTGTCTAATGAGTTTGCCGACCCCTGACATAGGGCCATTTTCTTTCTTTCTTTTTAAAAAATACATTTTATTGATTTTTTTTACAGAGAGGAAGAGAGAGGAAGAGAGAGCTAGAAACATCGATGAGAGAGAATCATCAATCAGCTGCCTCTTGCACACCACCATCTGGGGATGTGCCCGCAACCAAGGTACATGCCCTTGACCGGAATCGAACCCGGGACCTTTCAATCCGCAGGCCGACACGTCTATCCACTGAGCCAAACCGGTTTCGGCAGGGCCATTTTTTTAATCAGTAGAGTGAGAGTGTGTGTGTTGTGGTTATACCTTGTATTGGTCAAATACATAATTATCACACACAAAAATAGAAATCACACCACTTCCTGTAGTCACTGTGAACATGTGTGCACATACATTACACATGCACCCGCATGCATTTGACATGGGCTTCTATAAACTGCTTTGTACCTTGATGTCACCAATTCCTCCTTTATCCTCTGGATCACAGGCCAGACGGGTGGGCCGGGGCCGGGACAGGGACCACCCGGCCCCCCTCCTGACTAACGCATCTCCCCGCGCTCCTGTTTCTGCCAGCTTCAGTATCAGATCCGGCCCAGCAGCCGGCCGAAGAGCAGGACAAATCTCTCGAAAAGCCAAAACAGAAAAAGAACCGCTGCTTCATGTGCCGGAAGAAAGTGGGACTTACTGGTAAGAGCCCAGCCGGCGCCTCCGGCGTAGGCTGCGTGTGGAGCGAGGAAATAAATGCAGATCTACTTCCGGCCGGAAAGTGCAGTGGTTAGCGCTCTCTTCAGCTGAGGGGGAGGGGGTGAGACAAGTCAGGTCAGCGTGGCAGGCGCTGTGAGGGGCCACGCGAGGCCTTGCCCGGAGGGGCCGGCAGTGGAGAGGCTGTGTCCGTCCGGGCGAGCTGGGCAGGGCTGTGCATGAAGGGCTAATCCTAGCTTGCTGTGAGGGTCCCGTGAGTTCACACGTGTGCACACGTAAGGGGAGGCGCCCCGGCCGTCACGCAGTAAGTGATGGGTCTGTGCTGACTGCTACGGCAGGGCGGTCAGAGGGCGATGCTGTTAGGAGAGGGAGAAAAAGTGTGCAAGTGGGTATTTAGCCAAGAAAGCGTACGGAGTGCAGTCACGGCGATTGGTTTGGGAGTTCAGGGACGGGAGTGATTGATGTGTTATGTAACAGAAGAGGAACGCTGGCCGGTGTGGCTCAGTGGATAGAGCATCGGCCTGTGGACTGAAGAGTCGCAGGTTTGATTTCACCCAGGGAACATGCCTGGGTGGTGGGCTCCATCCCCAGTGTGGGGCGTGCAGCCGATCTATGATTCTCATTAAGTTTCTCTCTCTTTCTCTCTCTTCCTCTCCCTTTCTCTCTGAAACCAATAAAAATGTATTTTTTAAAAATATATTTTATTGATTTTTTACAGAGAGGAAGAGAGAGGGATAGAGAGCTAGAAACATCGACGAGAGAGAAACATAGATCAGCTGCCTCTTGCACACCCCCTACCGGGGATGTGCCCGCAGCCCAAGTACATGCTTTTGACCGGAATCGAACCTGGGACCTTTCAGTCCACAAGCCAACGCTCTATCCACTGAGCCAAACCTGTTTCGGCTAAAAATGTATTTTAAAAAAAAGAGAGAGAGGAGGAGGAGGAGGAGAGGCTGTGAAGGAAAGTGGTGAAAGGTGATGTAGCTGGAACTTGAGAGATGAGCAGAACTTCCTTATGGAGACAGCCAGAAAGGATCGCTTGAAGGAAAACTCGAGAAGGGAAGGAACAGGGCGGGGCAGGGGCCAGGAGCAGGAAGGTGGCGTGGGCGGAGCAGGTGCGGGGGCAGCCAGAGCAGAGGTGAGCCAGCGCTGTGGCCTGGGGTGCTTTGGGGGGCGGTTGCAGCTACAAGAGGGACCATTTGCTGTCTGCCATGTGCCCGGCGTTGGGCTGGCTTCAGTACGAGCTGAGAGGAGAGGAGCGCAGATTCTGAGCTAACGGTTTGAGGAAGGTGTGGGGCCAGGAACAGGCGGGAGGGAAAGAGGAAGGCGGTTTTAGTCTCAGATCCGAGATGTTTCGGACTGGCCCAGCCGAGCATGCGCAGATAGGACGCCCGGAAATACACATTATTCAGGATCAAATAGAGGCCTTCTCACTCTCAGAAACTTCCGGAGCCTCCCCCAGCCCAGTCTGCCCGCTGGGTCACTGCTGGCTTCCTTTGCATTCAGGAATGCAGAATATGGTTTTCAAGGTTAGAAAATGTAGTAAAGGTCAGTGGTTAACATCCCGGGTTCCTCTCCCAGGAGTCCCCTCCCACCATCAAGCCCTCATTGGGGGAGCAGGACCAGTTTTGTCTACAACCCATCCCCCATCCTCCCATCTCTCCTTCGGCTTCAACGCTGGCCATTTTCCTAAACGAAGGAGCGTTGGTCACATGCTTACGATGTGTCAAGTAACACAGTCCTCACTTAATCCTCCCAGTAATTTATTATTTCAAAATCAGAGGCCCGGTGCACAATTCATGCACGGGTGGGGCCCTCGGTCTGGCTGGCAATTGGCGCCGATGGGTGCCATCTCGCCCAGTCCCGATTGGAGCCGGCCAGCCAGGTAGAGGGACAGCCTGGGAGGTTCGCTGTGGGGGCGCACTGACCACCAGGGGGCAGCGCCTGCATTGAGCGTCTGCGCCCTGGTGGTCAGTGCATGTCATAGCGACTGGTTGACCGGTCATTGGATTGACCAGTCATAACGGTCGCTTACGCTTTTATATATATAGATTGCAGAAGCAGAGGGAGCTCAGAGCGGCTCAGTCATTGGCCTGCGTTGGTGGATTCACGCACGGGCACCCTAACCACCTCCCTTGCAGCTCGCTTTCCGTGGGAGGGTAGGGGGTTAGCCAAGGGCAGCTGGTGCGGACGCTGTTACTCGTTAACTGGTGTCAGAGTCTTAGTTAACATTTAAGCCTGCCCCGCTGTGCCTCCTTTCACATTTCCCCTTAGCAACCTGCTTTGGCAAGGAGGTAGCTGCGGCCCTGTCGCAGGTGAGGGAGCCAGAGTACAGAGCTGCGCTGGTCCCAGCCTGCAGCGGCCCGCTAGTGAGCTTCTAGAACGTTCTCAGGCTGTGAAAGCGCTGACGTCGAAGGACGCTCTCGCTGTCGCATGCATACATGTTGTGCTGAACACGAGATGTGCTCCCGACTCAGGCGTGTGTGTTGTCCCCTCCAGGGTTTGAATGCCGGTGTGGGAATGTTTACTGCGGTGTACACCGCTATTCCGATGTACACAATTGCTCTTACAATTACAAGGCCGACGCGGCTGAGAAAATCCGAAAAGAGAACCCCGTGGTGGTCGGCGAAAAGATCCAGAAGATTTGAACTCCTGCTGGAATACAAACTCCTTTGACCATCTTGCAAACCAAACCTTGACTCGAGGTGTTTTTTCCTCGCCCCCACCCCCACCCCTCTCCCTTGGGGAAGGTAGAGCAGTGTATCTTGCATAGACCCTTTTGAATCATGCATGTCACCCGAAGAATAGATTTTTGTTTTTGTTTTGAAAATGACTCTGAACGTTTATTTCCATTTGCAGTTTCTGTGGGCTGAGAAGACTTAAGTAAACCTTTTCCAAGTATTACCCTTTCTAAGATCATTTTTCGTTTTAGCTGAGCGCAGAGGGCTTTCGTAAGCAACGCGGAGAAAACCTTAAAGACTGTGATTCTCTCCCCTCCCCCCCAGTATTAAACATGCATGCGTTAACCCTGCGGTTTATTTTCTCATTGTGTATGTATATAGAGCCTTTTCTCGGCAGCACGATTTCTCTTTTGATAATGCCCTTCCGGGGCAAAGCTAGTTATCGGTAACTGAATGTACCTTAATCATTATGGCTGCTTCCGTTTGGTTATTTTTTTTTCTTCTTCTTCTCATTAACAAAGGTTATACATATGTTAGCATAGAGTTTCTTTGCACCCACTATTTATGTCTGAATCATTTGTCACAGGAGAGAGTGTGCTGTTGAGATCCTAGAGTTTGTATGTTCTATTTTTTTTTTTTTTTTTTTTTTTTTTTGAGCGAGGGAAGGAGACGCTGTGTGCATTTCATTGCTGACTGTGGATTTCTTTCAGATTGCGTTCCTCGGTCTGTGTGTACACAGTATGAAGAATGATCTGAAGGAACTGTGCTGTATTTATGTTTACCCACCAGCCTTTGATTAAATAAAAAGCAAAACCACCACCTGGCCCACGTGCTTGCCTTTTTCCTCTTCTCGGTCGCTCTCCCGGCGGCTCGTCGGGCTTCTCCTCCTTCACGAATATTCCGTGAGAGCCTCCCGCTGCTCAGCTCGCATCTGCCTGCGACTCACCGTCCTGCTCCACAGGGATCTCACGTTCTTGGAAGGTCCAGACGTCAGCATTTAAAAAAAAAAATATATATATATATTATTGATTTTCCACAGAGAGGAATGGAGAGGGATAGAGAGCTAGAAACATCAATGAAAGAGAAACATCGACCAGCTGCCTCCTGCACATCCCCCACCGGGGGTGTGCCCACAACCAAGGTACATGCCCTTGACCGGAATCGAACCTGGGACCTTTCAGTCTGCAGGCCGATGCTCTGTCCACTGAGCTACACCGGTTTTGGCTGTCAGCGTTTCTTTAAAACTGAGAACGGCTGTCACTTTGCCGTCAAACGTGCTAGCTCTTGTCTAGCTGCCTGCTGTGTGTGCTCTGCCCTCCCCCCGGGTCAGAAAAACAGAGATTTCTGGTTTCTCTCTCTCGTTTTTATATTTTTATTGATTTCAGAGAGGAAGGGAGAGAGAGAGAGAGAGAGAGAGAGAGAGAAACATCATGGTGAGAATCATCGATCAGCTGCCTCCTGCACACTCCCTACTGGGGATCGGCCCGCCACCCGGGCACATGCCCTGATCAGGAATCAAACCTGGGACACTATCCACTGTAAAACGTGAGATCACAGTGTGGGTGCAGGTGCGAGGGGGTCATCCCCCTGGCGGAGGTGGAAGCTGTGGTGTCGGCCAGTCCCACCGTGCGGAGCCCCGTGGACAAGACGGCCTTCGAGTTAAAGACAACTCACCATGTTTACAGCTTCTGTGCCCAGCACTTGCCGCTGGCCCAGCTGTGGGTGGGCCAGATCTAGAGCTGCCAATCAGACGCCGGGGCCCAGCTCTGCCCGCTGCGCTGTGTCCAGTGACAGACCACCAGGGGGTGGGCAGCCCTGGCCACGTGTACAGCCTCTGCCAGCCGCACCATGCCCACCCCGCCTGCCTGGCCAGCTCGGACTTACTTTGGAGTCCTGGCTGAGCATTGGCAGGAGCCGCCCCGGTGCAGCCCTCTCAGTGGGTGGCGGGCTGTAGGTCGCCCATCCCTGTCCGAGTGGTGGCCCCGGCGGCCTGCAGGCCGTGTGCCTACCACCACAGTCTATAAAGAGAATGAACTCTGAAAAAAAAGAAAAGAGAAACCGCACATAATTCAGACCAAGCAGTGGGAGAGCTGCCGAGTGAGAAAGACGCTCAAAAGGCCATTTGTCCTGTGGTTTCCGAGCGTTTCCCAGGCAGCAGCCTTTTTAAACCATGAAATAAAATACCATGTGAGACAGCAGTGCGTCACAGTCCAGAGCGGTAGGTTAACGTGTTCACGCACTATGCGCACGTCCTTCGTATGTGCTGGCGGCTTAGCATGAAGATCTGTAAGCGTGATTTATCACGTGAACAGATAAAAATAGGAGAAAATCAGTTAGAACAGTCTCAACAGATTCAGATCCAGTATTTAATAGAATTTAGCAGTCATCCATGATGTTTAAAAACTCACGGCTAATTAGCACTAGGAAGGGATTTCCTTATGCTGGTAGTTTCTGGGTAAAACCAGTCCCACAGAAAGCGGGCACATTCTACAAAGAGGCAGCTCATTCCCTTTCAAACTCAGAAAGCAAACCCTAGCTAGTGTGGTTCAGTGGCTATAGCATCAGCCTATGGTCCCAAGGGTCCCAGGTTTGATTCCTGGTCTGGGCATGTCACCGGGTTGCAGGCCAATCCCTAGTAAGAGTGTGCAAGAGGCAGCCGGTCAGTGATTCTCATCATCGATGTTTCCCTCTCCCTCTCCCTCTCCCTCTCCCTCTCCCTCTCCCTCTATAGGGGTGTCAAACTCAATCAGAGAAGGGGCCAAAATCTAAAATCCAGCCTAAATCATGGGCCGAATGGTTTACTGAACAGTCATAAACTGTCATTGTGATGGAAACGCAGCGGAGTGCAGTGATGACAGCGCGGTGCGGGCCACATTGCAAGGCCTGGCGGGACGGATTTGGCCCGCGGGCCTTGTGTTGGACACATGTGCTAGGAAATCAATAAAAATATAAAAAAGAGAGTGAGAAACCAAGGGCTGCCCACTCACGGCTTGCATTCAAAATTGCGTGGCAGGTCCTGCCAACAGTAAGTCACTGAAGATCTCCACCCACTGCTCTGTGGTTGTCACCAAAGCATCACAACCTCTCCAGCCAGTGAGAATGAGGGGAATGAAGCCTATTTGGCCCCGGAGAAAAGCGTTCAGGAGAAAAATGTAGGGCCAGACTGGAAAATAGACCTCTGTGAAATTCACAAAGACGGAAAATGCTGTGCATGCAAAGGGAATGAACAGCCCGAGTCAGTGTAGCTCAATGGCTAGAGCGTCAGCCTGTGGACTGAGAGGTCCCGGGTTCAATGCTGGTTCAGGGCACTTGCCCAGGTTGCGGGCTCAATCCCCATTAGGGGTTGTTCAGGAAGCAGCTGATCAGTGATTCTCTCTCATCCTTGATGTTTCTCCCTTCCTCTGAAATCAATAAAAATATATTTTTTAATACTTTTTAAAAATATTTTTTATTGATTTTTTTTTACCAGAGGAAAGTTAGAGGGATAGAAAGTTAGAAACATCGATGAGAAGGAAACATGGATCAGCTGCCTCCTGCACACTCCCCACTGGGGATGTGTCTGCAACCAAAGTACATGCCCTTGACAGGACTCGAACCTGGGACCCCTCAGTCCGCAGGCTGACGCTCTATCCACTGAGCCATACCTGTTTCTGCAATAAAAAATATACTTTAAAAAAATACAAAGGGAATGAAGTAAGGGGGAAATGTGAAGAATGGAGGTTAGTGGGATGATAGGCAATCTTTATTTTTTGTCATTGTAATGGGCATGTTCAACAAATCTCCACCCCAGAATGGAGAAAAGGAAATAGTGTGTATTTGCAAGTGACCTCCAATGGTTTTTACTTCCAAATGGAACGGTTTGGGCATTTTCAGACACTGTAATTAGAGGGTTTGGCAAATCTATTTTAAAACGATGAAATCTTCCCCTTCAATCAACTTATGGCCACACCCCTCACCCACCCACCACACACACCCGCTTCTCCCCAAAGCTTTTGGTCCCATTAACCTGTGTGTGTTTGTTGTGGAGTCGAACCCTCGGTTCAAAATAAGACCACCGGAAGCTGATAGTTTATTTTTTAAAAAGCAAAACAAGAATTTATTGAAATATCTGGCCAGGACAGCCGCAAGAGCACCACACGCAAGAGCACCACTACACGACTGCGAGGCTTTAGGGGCAGGTAGTTATTTTTAAAGGTTCTGAGAAGGAAAACCCTCATTCTGCAACAAACTGTTGTTTGGAATTTTCTGCTGTTCTTCCTAGATAAAATGTTGTTTTCTAGTTTGCTTTAGCCCGTTTGAAGAATGATGAAGATAAACTTAGCTTTCTGACCTTGCAGGCCAGAGACCAGATATGCCCACAATCTCAATACCATGCCAGGTGCACTTTTTTTTTTTAATTGGATAGAACAGCATTGTTTTTCAAGGCCAGCATGGAGATAACCACGAAGTGCACATAGGGCTGGATCTTCAATAAAAAAAAAGGAAGTTCTGCTTGTAACCTTGCTTAGGATTTGAATTCATCCTATTTATTTCATGTTCAGCGGGAACCCCTGGCCCGCCATGGCTCACACGGGCTCAGTGAATGTGCCCCCATGCTGCTGTGCTGCGGGGTCCCTGAACCCCGCACAGAGTGGGCCTCATCAGCTAGGGATCAGTTGCTCTTCGTCAATAGTTTTGTGTCAATCCCTGAAGCATTCATGGAACCCCTGTCTGTACCCGGTGTTTTGCTGCGTGTTGACCAAGCTGCTCCCAGAACTAAGCATAGCTGCCCTTAAGGGGAGGGTCAGGGCCTGTGCAGACTGAACAATCAATAGCCTGCGGGAGGATAGCGTGGTCAATGGGGCGGGGCTTTATGGGAGGCGCGGTCGGGGCGGGGCTTTTGGGAAGGCGTGCTTTGAATGGGTGGGAGTACCGGGGGGCGGGGCAAATTGGATAGGACTTCCGGGAGGCGCGGTCAGCGGAGATGGAGCTGCGAGAGGCGTGGCTTTCGGGGCGGGGCTGGTGGAGGCGTGGTGAGGGGGAGGAAAGAAGG